ACTCCTCTTGAGAAAAATAAATAAATAATAAATAAATAAATAGTAAGTAAAATTTCAGAGACGTGAAAAGTATAGAGTTGAGGTAGACTTTAGAAGGAACCGGAAAACCCAATCCTAAACAGGAAACAAGGGATAAATCTCCACACCTATTCAAAACCCCTGAGATCGATTGTGAACTGGAAAAAAAGGCAAACCTATCTACTCCCTATTTGGTGAGGAATAAATAATAATTACTATATATATATATATATATATATATATATATATATATATATATATATATATATATATATACACCACTACTGTTCAAAAGTTTGGGGACATCTCTGTTAATTGTTTTAAATTGGCCCAAAAGTAGTTGTTTTATGTCAGTTTAAATAAGAGGAAATTATTATACATGGTTACGAAAAGTGAGACATGGTTTTTATTAGAAATTTATTATGATATAAAGAAAAAAGCATTATATAATAAAATTTTGCTCTCGTCAAAATATTCTCCTTTAGCTTTGATTAATGCAGCACAAATTTTCATCATCTTGTATCCTAATAACAGCTAATTTTGTGATCTCAAATTTTAACAAAATGCGTAAAACTAAGTTGAATGTTTAATTTTTTCTTTTTTTTAGGGTAAAGAATGATGCGCGCTAGAAATGAAAAGACATTCTGTGTGTTAGAATATGCTTGAACACAGTCAAATATAAGTGTGCAGCGTGCATTTTCGAGAAAATTCATGAAATATGCAACAACTGGGCAGCAGGTTTGGACATAGCACACAAATTCAAACTCGGAAGATGTCAATCAAGTTCGGGAAACATTTGCACAAAGCCGTTGAAAGTTTGTAAGACTATTTCTGGAAACCTAGATTCCTCGTACGACATTTTGGCGTTCTGTAAGGAAACAGCTTCGAATAACATCCTATAAGCAGCAGCTCGTTCAAGCCTTAAACACAAATGACACGGAAAGCGCAAGTATTTCTGTGTCGTTATGCAAGAGAAACTTGAAGATGAGTTCGAAAAGCGTCTTGTTTTCAACGATGAGGTTAAATTTCAGACGAAGTCAGCAAGCATAAAGTCCGCATTTGAGGGAAAAGGATATCCCTATGCAACAGTTGAACACATGAAGGACTCACTGAAAATGAATGTGGTCTGCGCAATCACCAACAATTATCTTTATGGACCGTTTGAGTCAAACGTTATCTGCTTCAGAATTGGTTATTTGATAAGCTCATTACTAATCAACATGGACACTTAATTTGTTAAACTGGATAGGGCTACACGTCACTGGAAGCTGACTGTGCAGACGTATTACAATTAAAATTTACCTGGAAGATGGATCAAGCGTGCCAGTGATAACGACAATGTGCTGTTGTAAATGGCCACCATGTTCACCTGACTTGACATCTTGTGATTTTTCCTATGGGGCTATGTGAAAGGATAGGTCTATATCCCCTTCTTCCTACAAGCCTAGAGGAACTTAAACAGAGAATTACTGAGGCAATGGAGAATGTTACGCAAGACATGCTACAACGTGTTTGGCAGGAGCTGGACTACCGTCACAGGTGTTGCGTATTTTGAATATTTGCGAATCTTTGTGAAACCGGTTATCGAATCTACATCCCTTTGAATATCTTGTTCAAATTTTGCTAAATAAATCTTTTATTGTTCAACATGAAGCCTATTTAATTTCGTTTGCCTAGGACATGCAATGATCAGATATTCATATTTTAAATAGTGTCAATTTTAGCAGGGGACCCTGTATATTTTAATATATCGTATCTACGAGGTGTTATGGTGAAACACACCTATTCTATAGTTAATAGACTCTCCCACCTAATATAAGTAGGAGTAGTAAGAGAAACGAAGGTCAGTCGATGTCAGACGACCGGGTGAACGGTTGAACTCTCTGCCTTCGGGCGGGGAGGAACCCGAAAGAGGCTACGCCCAGTGGCGGAGTCTCGTTCGGGGAGGTAAACCGACCCTGAACCCGTTTATACGGGTTCATATGTTATATTTTTGGCCGAGCCCACGGGCTTGGAGATCCCACGTTAAACCGGCCTTGTGCCACATGAGCCCTCGTGGGGGGGGGATGTGACTAAATACCGTTCAGTCTGAAGTCGGGCGACCGGCTGATCGGTTGAACTCTCTGCCTTCGGGCGGGGAGGAACCCGAACGAGCCTCCGCTTTATACGGGTTCAAAGGGTATATTTTTTGCCGAGCCCACGGGCTTGGAGATCCCACATTAAACCGGCCTTGTGCCACATGACACCCTCTTGGGGTGGGGGTGACTAAATACTAGTCGATGTCGGACGACAGTAGTCGACAGTTAGTCGAATACGAAAGTAGTCAGCGACCACAACAAGATTACTCTGCGTAATACCTATTATATCAAGTTCCTAACGTTTTGTACGTCGAACCTATTTTAGGACCGATTTAGTACAAAGACAAGCCTTCACTGCGAAATAACTCCACAACAGTGGGTCATTCCAGATGTTTTGAGACTTT